TACTTGTAGTATTGGATTACATATTATCAATTAATGGCTTTATTCCTAACATTCAACAAGGATGTCTAATCCTGACCCTTTCCCTGAATTAATATTTGATCCTGTGTAAGGCACATGAACGATGTTTGTAAAATCAGGAGTACACACTAGATAACCTTTAATAGTTTGTCTATTAAAATTCTGAGTCTGCATCTGTCTGATGTTGTTTTGATGGCTGACAAAATGAGTTATGTCTCTTAAGCTCAAGTCAGTATCAGTTTTACATGCATTTGTTAATTTATAGGAAATCCTTTTCATTCTGCCTGAGAAGGAAAAATACTCCATCTGTAAAGCAATAATATTCTTCTCTTTGTCATTGTACAGTAATTTAATTGGGTTAAATGTGATTTACAGGCAGTCCCTGGATTGTAAATGAGTTCCGTTCTGTCTTTAAGTTGAATTTTGTACGTTAAGTCGGAAGAGTTAAGTATGGTTTGTATTTAATGTCAGTCAAATGTTTGTCATAGTATATAATATACTATTCAATGCATAAAAAACATTAATGAAATACTTCCAGATACACTTAAAACATCTTTAACATAATACGGTCATAATAATAATACGTTTTCATGTGTGGTGCAAAGTAGTGCCTGTTTGTTTTTATGAAGCATTGTCTGTACCTAGAATTTGTAATATAATTGGCTTTAGTAGGGTTGGTTCGTAACTACAGGTGGTATGTAAGTCAGATGTTTATAATCTGGGGACTGCCTCTATAGTTTTCCTTGTTCTTCCTAAGGTGTTGTGAATATTATGCAGTTTGTAGGGTATTTTTATTTAAAGATAATGTTTTGGACATCAATTTCCTAAAAGATAGAGTCTGAATCATATCCAGGTCAAGAGTGGCAGTGTAGTAAAAGGAATACTGTGTATGTGCTTTGGGTTACTAGACAAATGACTTGGGGCAAGGCATGTAACCTTGGTGAGCCTCAGTTGCATCATTAATAAAAGTTAAAATGCCTATGTTATGGGCTTATGTGAAAGTTCAGTGGGATAATGTATGTAAATTGTCTAATACAATGAACAGCACATTGTTGGCTTGTGTGCCTTGTCAAGAATTTATTGGATATGTACTATGAACCATGGAGCTCTTGTGGTACAGTGGTGTTCTGGTTACCTAGTACCACTCTGACAGGAAATATACCACAAATGGAATGGACTTAACAAACAGTTTATTCTCTTACAGTTTGGAGTTTTAAGTCCAAGTTCAAAATGCCAGGCTCTAGGGGCTGGGTGTGGGAGCTCTGGTAGCATAGTGCCTAAGGCACTTGACTGCTAACCAGAAGGCTGGCGGTTCAAACCCACCGGCTACTCCTCAGAAGGAAGATGGGGCAATCTACTTCCGTAGTGATACTGCCTCGGAAACCCAAGGAGGGGTCGCTATGAGTCAGGTCCGACCCGATGGCACATAACAACAACAACAGGGGCTGGGTGAAAGTCCCTCAACCTTGGGGTCCAGCTCTGCCTCCGACTCCTGGCCCACTGAAGCTAGAGGCATTTCTTGACTTAGCTGCTGGCTACTGAGGCTGAGAAACCCCAAGGTTGACAAGTAAAAAGGCACAGTCCTGATGTTACCAAACCACACGGTAGGCCATTAACTTAAATCCATTGTAAGTCCCAAGGTTGGCAGAGCATAGCAGGCTGCTGAGCAATGACACGGCTATATGCAGGGTCCAAGTGTGCCATAGGCTAGAACCATTCCCAAAGCTGCTACTTATATATGGGAAACAGACCACATACCTAGAGCAGCTGCTCAGCTACTTGTGGTAGATCCCACCATGGAGTTGACTGCCAGTCTCATCATGGGGAATAACTACCACCAGGTGCCCAGCCACTCAACCAGGCCCAGCCAAGTTGATACACAAACATAACCACCACAAGTGGTTTAAGCATTTGGCCGCTAACCAAAAGATCGGCAGTTTGAACCCACCAGCTATTCCGAAGGAGAAAGATGAGGGTTCCCTAAAGCTTTACAGCCTTGGAAACCCTATGGGGCAGTTCTACTCTTTCCTTTAGTTTTGTTGTGAGATGGAATTGATTTAATGACTGTGAGTTTTTGTTTTGGTGCTATGAACTAGACACTCTGAAAAGAACTTGATATGTAATGGTGATGAGTATAAATTATGAAGGATAATTTAGGATGATATTAGAGAATAATAGTTGGACCTTACTTTTGTTTGGGAGTCAGGAAAAGCCTCTCTGAAGAAGCAGAGGCCTTAACAGAGAGTAGAAGACTGGTTGTATTAAAGAATCTGTAATATTCTATACACTTAGTGGTTTAACAACAAATTCTTAATATTTTTTCATATATTTTAAATATTTTTATACTTATAAAAAGGATTAGGATTTACTCTGATATAGGAAGAAAACTGCATTTAGAGAACAAATAGAATGTCCAGAATTGAAACTAGAATAGAGGAGCTGATGATTGTCGGTAAGATTGAAAGGGAGGGACCATTATTATTGATATTTTTTTTTCAAAATTTTTATTGTGATTTGGGTGAAAGTTTACAGGGCAAATTTATTTTCCATACAGCACTTCATACACATTCTGTTTTGTGACATTGACTGCAATTCCCCATAGTGTAACAGCTCTCTTCTCACTTCCTCCCTGTAGTTCCTTCTTCTCTGTGTCCTTCCCTCCTATGAACTCCCACTCCCTGACCTGTCTCCCTGTGCAAACACTGCTCTTCTGTTCTCCCACAATTGATAACTCTAAGGAGTGTATCTACCTGATATAAATGTTCACCCTATAAACCTGTCTGTTCTTTGGCTGGAAGCCATGAGAGCAAGTTCAGTTCCAGGCCTGAAGGGTAACTAGGGGCCATAGTCTCTGCGAGGGACCATTATTTTTACAGTGTAGAATGTTGTGGAAGGAGATTATATTTTCTGGTCCCTACAGGAACACAGCGCAGAGATTGGGCTTGGGTTGGGTTAGTACAAGAGAAAAAAAGAGAATGTGAGTCATGGTTGTGGAAAGTATGTTTTTGTTACACATGGACCTCATACAAAGGTGAAATTGTTAGCTACTGGACTGGGCAGCATTTTGCTCTGTTACATGTAAGTCATAGGTGACTCAGTGGTACCTGACAACAACATAACAAAAACAACATTCAAGGATAAGGTCCTTGAATAACTTTATATTTAAGTTATTTGGAAACTGGTTTTTTGTATACCGATTGAATAAATAGTAAAGAAATTTAAAGGTGTGAGATTTTGTGCAAGGAAGAGGAGGAACCCTAATAGATCAGAGCCCCATGTGCACTAAACATCTAACATTGGGAAGTGAAAGGAGATAGAGGTAGGAACCCAAGACTTAAAGTAAATATTTTTACTTGAAGTATGTTGTGTGCTCTCTGTTACTATAGGTAGATTATGAAGTTCTTGCTCCTCTCATCTACCTTCTCTCTCTTTTCAAGTAACTGGAATAAAATCAGATGAGCCTTCAGGTATAGCCTTATTAGCGTCAATAATTATTTATTTGTCTGGTTTAGGCAGCAGAAGAGAGACCACATTTTTTTCTAACTTTTGAGAATCTTGAAACATTCCAGAACATTTTAAGATATTTGTATTATGTATTACTAAATGAGGAGCTCTGGTGGAACTATGGTTAAAGCATTGGGCTGCCAACCAAAAGGTTGAATGTTTGAATCCACCAGCTGCTCCATGGGAGAAAGATGAGGCAGTCTGTATCCATAAAGATTTATAACCTAGAAATCCTCCGTGGCAGTTCAACTCTGTCTTCTAGGGTCGCTATGAGTCAGAATTGACTACATGGCAGTGGGTTTTTATTACTTAGTCATGTGAGCTAGGTAATATAGCTGAAACTTTTTTTAAAAAAAACAAACTTTTTATTTGGGTGAAGTACAAAGCAGATTTGTTTTACATTTAACAGTTTATACACATTTTGTTTTGTGGCACTGGTTACATTTCCAACGTTGTAACAGCTCTCCTCTCACTACCTCCCTGTGGTTGTCCTTTCCTGTGTCCTTCTTGCCTATACATTCCCATCTTCCTGCCTTTCTCCCTGTGCAAATGCTGCCCTTCTGATCTCTCTTGTTGATAAGTCTAAGGAGTGCATCTCCTTGTAGGTGTTCAGCTCGGCCTGCCTGTTGTTTGGCTGAGAGTTAAGCCACAGGAGTGCGTTTAGTTCCAGACCCAAAGAGTGACTCAGGGCCATAGCCTTGGGTTAACTGGTCTCTGTCAGGCCAGTAAGCCTGGCCTTTTGTTTCGATTCTGAATTTTGTTCCACATTTTTCTCCCACTCTATCCAGGATACTTGATTTTGATCCCAGTCCGAATGGTTGGCATTGGTAGCCGGGCACCATCCAATTCTTCTGGTCTCATAGTCATATAGGCTGAGTGTGTCTTTGATTTTCTTCACTCTTCTTTGCTTTGGATGAGGAAAGACAAACAGTTAAATCTTAGATGACTGCTTGCAAGCTTTTAAGACCCCAGTTGCTACTCACTGAAGTAAGACATAGAACAGTATTTTTGTATACTGTGTTGTGCCAGTTGACTGATGACTCCCACAACCAGAGATTCACTCCCTTACGGTGCTTAGTTGTGGCTAAGAAGTTATCCTAACTTTGCCCCTTGTTAGCTTTAAATTGCATTTGGACATTGTTATTGCACATACAAATACATATGTAAGAATGTCATCTGCCAAACATAGGTATGGTAGTGGCTATATTCCTTTTCGCCTTTCATACCTGATACTCTTTCCTGTCTACCTTTGTATCCACCCGTAGATTAGTGTTTACTGTTACTGATAATGCAGTATTGTGTATGCAGTAGTAGTTGCCTTTTTTGTCTGTATGTCATGTGTACCTCTCCATGTCTTCTGTTTCTTTAATGATATATTGTACTAGTCACAGGCTTTTGTTACGTTGTTTTTCCCTTCACCCCTGTCAGACTTGTCTCTTAATTATTGGCTGAAACTTTTTATCTTACTTTCCTTTAAGCCAAGGGAAGAGATGGTGTTAAGTGGAAAATACAAATCTGGGGAACAAATTCTTCGTCTGGCCAATGAGAGATTTGCTGTTCCAGAAATACTATTTAATCCTTCTGATATAGGCATTCAAGAAATGGGAATTCCAGAAGCTATTGTCTATTCAATTCAGAACTTACCTGAAGGTATGTAAAAGCTGACAGTAAAATATTGAGGAGTAATGGTGTTTTTTTTTTTTTTAATCATAAGCTTTAAGAACCCTGGAGAAATAATTTGTTTCTTCTAAATAATTTCAAGCCAGTACAAGTCTGTTTCATTCACAGAGATTTCCAGATCCCACAGTATACCTTACAAATTCTTACTTTATTGGTCCCAGATTACAAATATGATATACCACAAGTCATTTTGACGCATTTAAGCTTGTAGAAATTTGTCTTATTAGCTTGCATATCTATTTTTTTTATTTTTATTGTGATTAGGGTGAAAGTTTAGAGAGCAAATTCACTTTGCATACAGCAGCTCACATATACTTTGTCTTATGACATTGATTGCAATTTCCCATAATGCAACAGCTGCCCACCCACTTCCTCCCCATATTTCCCTCTTCCCTGTGTCCTTCTCTCCCATGCACTCCTGCCCCCCGAGCTGTCTCGCTGTGCATACACAGCCCTTTTATTCTCCCATAATTGTATCTCTCCAAGGATTGAATTTACTTAATGTAAATGTTCAGCTCATTTGCCTGTCTTTTGTTTGGCTGGAAGCCACTGGAGTGGGTTCAGTTCCAGACCTGAAAATCACCTAGTGGCCATAATCTCAGTGGTTCTATCAGACTATCAGACCAGCAAACCTGGTCCCTTATTACTATTTTTTTTAATGATCTTGAGTTTTGTTCCACATTGTTCTCCCACTCTATCCAGGATCTCCCACATAGGTCTCCCTCTGAGTGGTTGACAATGGTAGCTGGGCACCATCTAGTTCTTCCGGTCTCATAGTTGTATAGGCTAAGAATTGCATGGTGTACTAGTTGCTTGGACTAATTGTTTCCATGCGTGTTTGGTTTTCTTCATTCTTCTTTGCTCTGGATGAGGAGAGACCCATCTTTGCATCTAGATGGCCACTTGAAAGCTTTTAAAATCCCACTTGCTACTCACCAATGTAGGATGTGGAACAATTTTTTTTTTTTAATTGTGATTTGGGTGAAAATTTACAGAGCAAATTTACTTCCATACAGCAGTTCACATACACTTTGTCTCATGACATTGACCACAATTTACCACAATGCAACAGCTCCCCTCCTACTTCCTCCCCATAGTTAGCTCTTCCCTGTGTCCATCCTTCCATGCACTCCAGCCCTCTGAGCTGTCTTCCTGTGCATAAGCAGCCCTTCTTTCTCCCATGATTCTTCTCTCCAAGGAATGTATCTACCTCAGGTAAATGTTCAACTCATATGCCTGTCTGTTGTTTGGCTGGAAGCCACAGGCATGGATTCAATTCCAGACCTGCAGGGAAGCTGGGGGCCATAGTCTCAGTGGTTCCACCAGGTTCTATCAGACCAGCAAACCTGGTCCCCCCCTTTTTTTTTCTCCAAATCATTTTGAGTTTTGTTCCATATTGTTCTCCCTTTCTATCCAGGATCTCCTACATAGATCCCCTTCCAAGTGGTTGACAGTAGTAGCCAGGCACCATCTAGTTCTTCTGGTCTCTTAGTCATATAGGCTGCAGATCAGATGATGTACCAGTCACTAGGACTAATTGTTTCCATGTGTCTTTGGTTCTTCATTCTTCTTTGCTCTGGATGAGGAGAGACCCATTGTTGGCATCTAGATGGCTGCTTGCAAGCTTTTAAGATCCCAGTCACTATTTGCCAAAGTAGGATGTTGTTGTTGTTGTTGTTATGTGCCGTCGAGTCAAACCCGACTCATAGCGACCCCTCCTTGGTTTTCCGAGGCAGTATCACTACGGAAGTAGGATTGCCCAACCTTCCTCCTGAGGAGTGGCTGGTGAGTTTGAACCGCCAGCCATCTGGTTAGCAGGCAAGTGTCTTAGCCACTATGCTACCAGAGCTCCCAAGTAGGATGTAGAACAATGTTTTGTGTAGTATGTTATGCCAATTGAGTTTGATGTCCTCTGCGACTATGGTCCCAAGCCCACAGATTCAACTACTCGGTCCCTCTGGGTAGCTGGTTATGACCAAGCAGTGACTACAGCCTTATCCCTTGTCAGCCCTACTATACACCTGGGAATTCAGATCATACACATAAACTTACAGGACCATTGTCTGCCAACCCTATACATGTTCTTGGGTACACTCCCCGCTTCATAGACATACCTAATAGTTCAGCCTGTCCACCCAGGAATAATATTTTTGTGTAGTATGTTATGCCAATTGAGCTTGATGTCCCTTGTGACTATGGTCTCGAGCCTACAGGTCTAACTACTTGCTTCCTCTGGGTAGCTTGCTGTGGCCAAGAAGTGACTACAACCTTGTCCCGTGTCAGCTCTACTATATACCTGGGAATTCTTACAGAACATACAAATACACTTATAGAAACATTGTCTGCCAACCCTATACATGGGCTTGGGCACACTTCCCCCTGCATAAATATACCTAATGGGTCAGCCTGTCCACCCATCTATCCACCCGTATATCAACGTTTGCCTTCACTGATGACGCAGGACAGTGTGTGCAAAGGGTTCATCTTTGTTGTCTCTACCTCCCATTGCATATCTATTTTAGAAAAGTTTTAATTTAACCAAAATTGGAACAGAATAGAAATTTATAATTTTAACAATTTGTTGTTAGCTGCTGATAGACGGGCTCATTCTTTCTATATTTGGACTAAGTACAGGAAGTGAATTTTAAAGAAATCGGAATGTAGTCCTTCATAGTGATTTCTGGGTTCTCCTGAAGGATACTTTTACTAACTCATGTACTAGTGTGTCAGGGATTTTTGTCTTGCAGCTGTTCTCCTAGCTCATAAGGAACAGTTTAGGCATTGGAGAAAATCTAACATGAACAATGTGCTTTCCTCCCATTTAGGGGGAAAAAAAAAAGATGAAAAAGAAAACCATGTAATTCCATTACCTTCACATAAGTTTTTTACATTTTATATAAGGTTGCAATCGTGATGTATATAACATCTCATATGCTACTCTGCTTTAACGTAAAGTCATCTTTTAAGACTCAATGTCAATATGAGGTGAACTCTGTCCTTGTGTTGGTGACCAGAAGCATGTGGGGGCATGACCAGTCCCTATTCATTCTTGATAGACTTCCCAGTGGTGCTCTATAGGCTTTTAATGCTGGCCAACCTGATAGCACTGAATGTTTGCCATCATATAACTTTATGAGTATTCATATGTCCATCCTTGCTTTAAATATTAGATTATGAGTGTTTTTCACTATCAGATTTAAGTATTAAACAATACATATGTCTGTCTCAGTGAGATAACATGGATATTTGAGCTCCTAAGTTAAACTTTCACAAAAGGGGCCTTCTTTTCATCCTGTAATAAGGTGCCCTGTGATTTAGGGGAGAATGATTATAATAATCAAATGTTTTCCACTACAAGGTGACTCATTTCTATATAGTTTGCATGTATATTCAAGTGACTGATAATGCTGTACCTTCTCTTTAGCCCTTTCTTTTAAAGGTAGATATCTATGAGGTCATGTTACATCCTGTTTAATATATCTGTTTGAGTGAACTATAACCTTATTACAAAATCTTTAGGTGGACCTCAAAAATCTTACAGTTTTGCACTAGTAACTATAACCTTTAATTGCTTCTTACATAATTCTGTATCATCTTTCCAGAAGATAAGTAAACAGACTTTCTAATGCCTTTTCTTTCCTTCTTCCCCCCTTTTTATTTTTTTAACAGAAATGCAGCCACATTTTTTTAAGAACATTGTTTTGACAGGAGGAAATTCCCTTTTCCCTGGATTTAGGGATCGGGTTTACTCAGAAGTTCGATGTCTCACTCCAACAGATTATGATGTTTCTGTGGTGCTGCCAGAAAAGTAAGTATTGGCTTATGAAGAAACAAAACATGAAGTCATTTGGTAGATAAGGTGGTCTGTAGGCAAGAACAGGGCATCAGATTGAGAAAACTCACTAACTATTTGTGATATGCAGATGACATATGTTGCTGAAAACAAAGAGGACTTGAAACACTGACTAATGAAGGTCAAAGACTATAGCCTTCAGTATGGATTATACTTCAATATAAAGAAAACAAAATTATCACAACAAGAGCAATAAGGAATATCATGATAAACAGAGGAAAGACTGACATTGTCAAAGATTTCATTTTACTTAGATCCCAATCAGTGACTATGGAAGCAGCAGTCAAGAAATCAAATGAATCAACATAATCCACCACATAAATAAAACAAAGGAAAAGAACCAGTTGATCATATCAAAACAAAATCCAACATACATTCTTGATAAAAACACTCAGGAAAATAGGAATAGAGGGGAAATTCCTCACCATAATTAAGGGCATATATATATAAAACCAGTGCCTAACATTGTTCTCAATGGAGAGAGACTGAAAACATTCCCCTTGTAAAAAGGAACCAGACAAAGATGCCCTTTATCACCACTTCTATTAAATGTTGTATTGGAAGTCCTAGAAAGAGCAATAAGGCAAGAAAGGAAATAAAAGGCATCCAAATTGGCAAGGTAAAACTATCTCTATTTGCAGATGGTATGATCCTATACGTAGGAAATCCTAGAGACTCAACAAGAAAACTGCTGGAAGGGGCAAGGTTGTGGTCACTGCTTGGTCACAGCCAGCTACCCAGAGCGACCGAGTAGTTGATCCTGCAGGCTTGGGACCATAGTCACAGGGGACATCAAGCTCAATTGGCATAACATACTATTCAAAACATTGTTCCACCTCCTACTTTGGTGAGTAGCGACTGGGA